TGCATTTATGTTTTCTATTGAAGCACCCTCTTGTTTTTTCCACCCATAGTTTTTGAGGAGGTGTTTTGGTCGGACGGTCGGAGCCTAACTCAGTCCCTCTTCTCCTTCTGTTTCAGGGGGGAAGGCGCTGCGAGCCCCTTAAACAGCAGGAGGAGACGACTGGGGGAGCCTCTGATCTCCACAACAAACAGACAGACACAGATACCAAAAGACAGATACTGTACTGTTGGCAGCGTCACAGCTGCCATACAGCCCAATACACAAATCAGGCAGCTGTGAAAACGACAAGAATGAAGAAATATATATTTAACTCACCTTGCTGTACTCACTACAGATCCATATGAATGTATTAAGACTTCAAATGAGAGCACTGATATTATTAACACACGTACTGTATAGATAATAATAAGATGTGTCTTTGTCTTCAATCTTAAATGTAAAGTTATTTGCATTTGCACATCTTCTGTTCAACAGAATCCTTTAGTGAAACCCCGTAGGTGCTGTGCAGTGAAGATTACAGAGTATTTTTATTTTACTTTATTGTGCTTTAACCTACATTATATATTCATGTTGCCATTTTCACAGCCAGAAAAAAAAGGGAATAGGCGATAAAAAGATGACGTACTGGTCTTAAATTTCACACAAATCTGTTTCTGTTTGGAAGCATTTCAACACAAGGTGTCAACTCTTTTGTTGTCAATTCAAAAAAACTGAAAATACTAATAAAAGGGCAGCTATATGACTAGGTAGTATATTGTGCTTTCGCATTAAAACATATATATCTATTTTTTTCTTGATATATAGAGGTAGATGTTGTAAACGTTTATTTTTCCATATACAAGTCCTATTTCTCAATTATTGTGCTCAATGTCGAGCCCATTTTCAGCCTGATCACATGACATTTGTCAAAGCATTTTCACAGTTTTAATAAAGGTTGAACACATGTAAGAGCACTACATGCATTTGAATGCCTATTTTGATCCACTTGATCTATTTGTAAAACGTTGAACTGTGAAATGTGGCCTGGACGTTTGGTTTGGTGATGTCTCAGAGGGTTTGACTCTCATTAAAGAACCGTATGCTCTCATTCAAAACATTGTGATTGTCATGCATACAATGTGGTAGAAAATATACTGTAATGTAAGGAAACTGCAGGAATAATAAAGATTCAGTGTGGACGTATCTATGTGGTCATTTGATTAATGAACTGCTTTGTAGATACAAGGATAACTAAGTGTGCAGCTACCCTTACCCATTTGAAACACATTATGCATAAAGATCAATTAAATATCAAAACCTGTACCTACATCTCAAACAATAATCATCCCCTCCTGAACTGTATATATTTTAAATAAGCAGTTCTCACAGATTCCATAATTAAAAATCCAGTTTGTGATATGTGCCAAAGTTTAAAAAAAGTCCTTTATATATGAAACACTAAGACAAAATCCATCACCACCATGTCTCATTTCTGCCACATCTTGCTTTATACACAAAATCCCCTTTCTCACCCCTCATAGTTTCAACCATACTCAAACCTGACATGGTGCTGGAAGATGTGGATTCCGACAATGAGGGCCAGCAGACGCATGACGTTGGGACTGGAAACGACAAGAAACCAAATCTGCTACCATTAAATAACCAGCAGACACAGTCCACCTCCAACGTCATTCAAAAATCCCAGCCAACACCGAGTGTGACAAAAATGTCTCAAGAAGACGCAGAGACCCAGACCGGGCGCTGGACGCCGTTCATTCAAAGCATAAAGAGGGAGGCTGAAGACGTGGCTATGGCTACCATGGAGGAACGGTAAGAGAGGTGGAGGTCGTCAGAGCTGCAATACTTTGCCATTTTAATTCACTTACTGGATGTAAATACCCCTTATCATAACATTAAAACATTAATCAAAAAAAAAGATACAAGTATTTGAAAGAACAGACATGATGATGGACCCTGACAAGCCAGCAATACCATCATAACCACTAACAAACACAACATTTTCAAATGAGCTCTGAGATTAGATGTATTGTTGTTAGTAGTCCCTCCTCTTGAAATGTCACTGCTCATGTCTTACAAACTTGCTGATCTATCTTAGAGACAGTTTGAGAGTCCACACAGCTGACATTTCTCACGTTTGATCATGAAAAAAAAGTTTGTCCAACTGTTGACATCTTGTTCCTAATATAAAAACCTCTTCTCTGAATCAGTAATTATGTAGCCCATTTTGCCAACATTACACTGATACTCAACAGCTCACATCAGCTTTTGACATCTATACATTGCATATTATAGCTGATGGGCTGATGTCTTCCAACAGGGTTGATATCGGCACTGATGTTATGATGATGATGTTCAACAAATGTGTCGACATGTCCCTAGTTTGAATGAAAACATAGAGAGACCATGGGTCAAAGCATCAGTGATATAAGGTCAATATGAAATAACTCAGCTGGTTGGAACAGTTTATATACAGCTGTAGACAATGGTCCAAGGAAAAATTCAACTGTGGTTCTGCCGTGAGATATGAAGTTTTAACAATAAGGAAAAATAATTGGTACATCTTAAATGTAATTTACCTTGTTCCAAGCATTTACTGCACATCAATGTGTGTCCTGTCCCTCTTTAGCCTGATGCAGGAGCGCCTGGAGATGGCCCGTATGGCTGAAGAAGTAGCCAGGCAGACAGCTGAGATGGCCATTAGACAGATGGCCAGTGAGGGGCACTCCATTAAACTCTCACTGGGGAGTCAAGAACTGCTGCTGGAGGAACCTGAAGTTGAGTAAGGACCTTTGTTCCAGTAGATAGAGAACACAAGATAAAGTGTGTTTTTTTTAAATCATTTCTTCAATATTTTGTCATTTGGATTAATGTGACGCTGCATGTTCACTATCACCAGACTGCCAATGACACCTGAAGAGCAGAGTGAGGAGGAGGAGCACATTAAAATCACAGAGTAAGAACACAATCACAACTTCCTGGAAATACTTTGTTAGCATCCTATGTTAGTAATGTTAAAGTTAACTACAAGATTCCTACAATGCAAGTAATAAAAGTAAAAGTAACGTTTGTCTAATATTAACGTAAGCAACTGTAATTATGATGAAACAGGGAGGACTGATTATGTTAATTATAGAGGTTCAAGTTAAGCAGCTCTAAGGTCAGTTCATGATATTGTACCCAGATACAGCGCCACCGTAAATTTACTGCGTTACTTTTCACAAGTGGAGGCGCTACAAAGCATCCCATGTCCTACTAGTCGTGTGGAATTAGTCCCAAATCTCGTTTCATCCCCAAATCCCGTGGGATCTCATTATGCGCTGCATCAGCAACATCACACGACCGTGCCTAGCAACCGTAGCTTCCCTTTGCAGACACACTCAACGGTTCCCATGGTAACCGTGTGCACCTGCTGCTGCTGCTGCTGCTGCATGATGGACGGAGGTGTTATGCGATATTTTTGTTATCCTTTTTTTATTTGCTGAACTTTCTAAATTTCCCAAATCTTCTCTGAACTGGACTCGTCATGTGTTGATGCTCATAGGCGTTACCGGAACTATTAACGGTTAACGTACTTGAATATTGACAGAGTAAGTAAGTTGCGTTATCTTGTGATGCCCTCGTTGTTACGTATCCTACTTAAAGGACCTCAATAGATGTTATCAATCAGCTTTCAGCTTTTATTTAGACCTCTAACTTTATTGTTGTCATGATACAAACTGATAATTGGCGTTATGTAAGCTTTGCTGTTACAGGTGGTTTAATGCTAACAACAAAGAGGAAGTTCGCTAACACTGAGTAATGTCATGCTTACATGAACAGTAGGCTGTCAAGTGTTTCTATGAATTCAGGTATGAGGGACAAAAAATGACTAAAGTATAAATAAATAAATAAATAAATAGATAAATAAATGTTGGGAGAAATGCATACAATAATGTATAAATAAATAAATAATTACATAAATGCATCAATAAATATATGAATAAATATATATATAAATAAATTCAACAATTCATGTAAAAATGTATATATAAATAAATATAAATATATAAATTTCTGTATTTCTGTGTCCATGTTGTACAAGGAAAAGTAAACATGTAAATTAAGTGGGCCGTCCTAACATTACTGAAGTAGGATTGATCAATTTTGAAAAACAGACAGAAGCAAATTTACATATATACGTTTCCTCTTACGACCTGGACACAGAAATAAATAGATGTGTAAATGTAAAAATACGGAAATAAATTAATGACTCAATTAATGTGGAAATGTATGCATTGATACATATATAACTGTAGAAATACGCTAATAAATGAATAAATACATGTAAAATTATATAAATAGCCTTTTTCATTAACAAAGTGTATTTATTATTTATTCATTGATGTATTGTTTTCAGCATTTATATATTTATTTATATATTTCTTGATGCATTTATTTAATTATTTATACATTATTGTATGCATTTTTCCCAACATTAATTAATTAATTAATTTATTTATTTATTTATTTATACTTTAGTCATTTTTTGTCCCTCATATTCAGGCAAACATTAACATAATAATTGGCAATGTAATAAACAGGCCTATAGTATACATTTGGGCAGCATGAATGAGATACAAAGTGCTATAAAAAAAGGGAATTTAGTCTTATAAAAGTTTTAGATTATACCCATAATGTTTAACATTTTTTAACGTGTTTGTGACTCATGCAAATCCTTTTTAGGAGGTTTATATATTCCTTAAGCCTTCTCAAACTTAGTCTACACAGTAACTTTTAGCAAATATCTGTTTTTTTTTATCTGAAATTGCATTAAGAGTAGAATATAAAAAAGTGCATTATGATAGGTGGTCTATCAATATAAGAGTGTGTCCCTCCTAACTGCCTACTCTCAATACAACTCACTGATGTTTAATGCAACTTCACTTCAATTTTGTGGCTCAACGAACACAGCACCAGACACATAACTTGTAACCCGATTTGTTCCCTGTCTTGTACTGCAGAGAGGAAGAGAACCTCGCTGAGGAGAAACAGGAGGAAGAGGAGCCTGTCATCTGTGACCCAGGTAGTTTTTAAACTCCCACATTACATTTGATCATCTCAGTACAGTACAACTCTATCATCGTTGTCTTATGACCGTCTGCTGTTGTATTTTTTTATTTTCTGAAAAAATAATTAAGAGCAAAAAGAGGAAGAAGAGCCACAGCGGACCTCCCCCTCGCCACCTCCAAGTCCTGAACCAGTTACAACCCAGCCCAAGGCTGATCCAGAATCAGAACCAGAAACCGACATCAAGGAAGCCAATGAAGACGCTGAGCCTGTAACCCAGCAGCCACAGAAATCGAAGGCAGATGGTCAAAGCCCAGATTCTGACAAAGCTAGTGACAAAGTAATGTCCACCTATCATAAACTGATAAATAAATCTTTCATAATTTGAGAAATTGTGTCCTAACTGATGCTAAGCCCTACCTGGTCATTCTTTTAATTGTATTGTGTTTTTTTTCGTAGGAGGAGGAAGCTACTGGGGAAGGCTGTGGTGGTATGTAATCTTTTCAATAATTTTAGATGATATTCTTTATATGACTGTGGCAAGAGCTGTTGTGTTACTACTTCCTGTGTGGCTGACTGTTCGGTAGTCTTGTGTCAAAATCTGTAAAATTGACTGTTTCATGCCTGTCTACATCTAGATGAATACATCTTTATTTAATTTACTGTTTTGACTCTAAATTTGTTAGTAAGTAGCTATCAGTCATCTTGAACTGTTACTGTTTATGTCACCTGCTGACTCTGGTTATTAATCATGATCCATCCTTTCATCTAGATGACATCTGACACTGTTATTCAGGCTGAACAAATTGCTGTTTCACTATCGACCCCCAATTCATCTCAGCTTTGCTCATGTTTTTTTTCTGACTGTGAATCTGCCTGTCTCTTCTATAGCTCCAGTCAGCTGTGATGCATTCAAGAGCTGCCTGATGCGCATTCCTCACACCTCAGAGTGCCTGGGCAACATCAACGCGTACTTCAAAGAGAATGGCATTTCTGCCCCCAAACTACCCTCCATGCCTGAGATGCCCAAACAGCTTTCTGACGTCACCAAGTACTTACCCAGCCTACCCTCTCTACCCCCTGAACTGCGCCAAGAGTTTTCCCAGATACGACTCACACAGGTACCCCGGAATATAGCCTCGACTCTGACGGAGCTCTTGCCCAAGAACTCTGAGGGTTCAGTCGCCCCCTCTCTTTCTGGTGTTACCCAGAGCCTTGCAAACATCCCACAGAAGATCTCCCAGTTCCCCACCAGAACTCAGCAGTATTTCCTCAACATCCAGAACCGCCTTAACAGCCTCATGCCTCAAGATGCCTAAAAAAAACCAACAACAACAACAACAACAGCAAAAACAAAAGCAAGACAAGAATCAGCAAGATGTTGAGCTCAACCGGCTCGTCCGACATTCCCCTCTGCCTCCCCCTCACCATCCTCAGCTTCGGTCCCGCTCCCCATCTCCATCCTCCCCAAATGGTAGTACTCTCGAATTGCCCAATGTGCCATCCTACCCACGCCTGCCGCCGATTGTCAGTCCCCCATCGAAGCAGCTCAACTCACCATCCCGCCAGCTTTCTGGTCTCTGTAACCCGGCATTCTTCATTGAAGATGATCCAGACGCTGCACCAAGAAGACCTGCAGGTGAATTGTTGGTTTTCTTGTAAGATCACTTGTTTACACCTGAACTCATTTATAATACATGACATTTTTATAATGTGTAGTATCAGAATGAACTAGTTCATATTCAGAAACACAGAAGCTTTAATTCTACTTTTCTTAAACAATTCTTGAAAATCTTTAAAAAAGTGAATTGTCGTCTGAGTTCACAGGTCATAACAACTTTATTCACTTTGTTTTCAAGACTACAATCACGTTTGGAAAAAGTTCTTCATAAAAAAAAAAAAAAAAAGCTTGGAAAAGCTGAGGTGTAATATGAATAACAATATCAGATACTGAAACTGCATATCCTAAAAAAACATCTTTTGCATTGAAAATCTCACATTCACACTATTTTGCGTGCTCTCCATTTATCTAACATATTTTTTTACGTTCCCTCTTTCCAGAGAGTTCAAGCCTCAGCCTTCATCCAGCAGTCAACGTAGAGGATTTTGACTCAGACAATGAGAGAGGACGGGAAGGAGGAGAAGGGCAAGAGGAGGGGAGGAACAGATAAATATTCCCCAAATCCTCACCACCCAGGACCCCAAACTTACAACCCTCACCGTCCCAGTGACCCCTTCTGTGGGTCGTCAAAGGTGAGAATTATTTTCAGTCCTAGTCAGTTTAATTTAACGCTACTTGAGCTGCAACAAAGCTTATACTATTAGTAATACTTTATTTTTTTACTTTTGATTCAAATGTAATATTTCACAAAGAGGTCTTTTCTGAGGGCTGTACAACAATAATATTTTAATCTTGTTCTCTCCCCTCATGTTCCAAACTCCAGCAAAGGAGACAAAGAGTAAGCATCTGCATGGATGTTATTTATCTGTCATTTAGTACTTGTTATTTTCTGTCAACATTGATCCTTCTTTTTCAAGTATAACACCACATTTACATGGGCCAGACCAGTTAAGGAGTTTTTAGACTGATATAAATACCAGGTCAGGATGGAAAAACAAAATCTATGACGAAGAGTATGGCAGCTGATTTCGTGAACGGAAATAGAACTCCTCTGTTCAGCAATGATTTCTTCGCTACGAGTCTTTTAGACACTGCTGAAAGTATTGTCAGGCGGAGCCACTCTGCTGAGCACATCAGATAAAGACACTACTAATATCACTCTAAGCTTCACATTTTCATTAGATGTCATAAAGGTTGGTTTATATATTATATTTTAAACATATATGCGTATAGTGATACATATGTCATAGGCCTATTTCACTGGCTCTAACAAACAACACTTTAATGAAGTATTGGCCAGGTGATTCACATAAAACAAATCTGAATTCACATCACTAGGATAAGTTGTTCAGGCTTCATAAATTCCCAACTTTCTCTGTTGGCAGGTGGAGTGTTTTCACCCGGAATGAGAAAAAATTGACAGATATCAAAAGTCAGAAAGTGTGTTTAGTTTTGTCTGAATCTATTGCCCTCTACTGCCTACTGTGCAGCCACAGTTGGTAGAAACATCAGGGTGGTCTGTCTGAAATACAGACGGACCACCCAACCTGATACATATATTGTTTTTACAAAACAGATGAAGACAGTTTATGACATTCATTGTTTTACGGAGCTCTGACTGTCCTGAAGACGCTGACTATTTGTTTTGTTTTTCTGAAGGCGGTAGACACTGCTCATTTTTGCTGCATGGCTTTCACAGATTTATATGTTTGTAGCTACTGCATCATGCATGTCATAGCATAGCAAAAGTAAAAAAAAAACAATGTTCCTGATTTGTATCATCCCCTGTAGTGTGTTTTTGTGGGTGATTACTTTTGCTTATATGAGTAATATAATTTCCCTTACCCTCTTTTTCTTTGTCTCTTTCTCTTCAACATAAAAAAAATCTACGACAGTATTGGAAGGCATCGTAGGAACATCTGGACAAACATGTAAGATATCAAACCCTTACTGAACTAGCATCCATCCATTTCTAGAAACACACAAGATGCTGCCAAGTCAATATTGTATCTAATGCAGTTTCTTATACCTAAAACAATTGTAATTTGCTCTTTACATTATTGTCTTTAGTGTGAAGTCTCAGTTTGCATTCTTCTTAATCTTACATATGAAGTGAGGAGGACAGCAGGTAGCAGCATGAACTACAACATCGTATTTACTCGCCCTTGAGCAAAATATTTTATTCGTTTTTTCAGAATTCGGCTTTTAATATTTACAGTGAAGCCACAAAACTGTTGATTTCAATCTTTCTGAGGCAAAAGTGTCTCAAACTTTACCCAGTGATGTTTTTGTGTCTACAGTAGGAACCTGCAGTCTCAAAGTGAGGACGATGATGATGAAGGAAACACCCCCGTCAGAGCGTGGCCCAGTCAGTCCAGCCTGCACAGCACAGATGACATGTGAGCTCTGTAGTCACACAGAAAAACAGAAACACATGTATACACCCCACAGAGGCACCAAATCAGTTCAGACTAATGTGTGAATACCTTATCTGGGCATGTTATAACATAAATAAATAATAGAATAAAACATGATGTCATTTTATTTGTCATGTTATTAGACTGAGAGAACGTCCTGCGTCTTCGGCCAGTCAGACCAGCACAGTGGTCAACGAGCGTCTTCAGGAGCTGGTCCGGATGTTTAAAGAGAGAACCGAGAAGGCAAAGGAGAAACTCATAGACCTCGACAGCTCAGATGAAGACAGCACCATCACTTGTAAGTTTAGTTCATTTTATTTCTGTAACCTACACACAAACACAGAACCTGTCTTTACTCCCACAAAGGATACTGTATATGTATACTGTATTCAAGTTCATCTTTTAACAACACTAAAACAAAATAAAAGCAGACACAACAGGCACAGAGTGATCCTATACTGCAGCAGCTGTATTATAGCATATTGTCCTTCTAGATTAAAAGAGACCTTTGTCCAGACAATAGATTATTTTGCATCATAAGAAAAGTCCCCACTGACCTTCACACACACACACACACACACACACACACACACACACACACACACACACACACACACACACACACACACACACACACAAAGCTGAGAAGTAAAACACTCTGTCTCCAGTAACCAGCCTCTCAGCTTTCCCCTCATTATTTCTAAAGTTTGACTCAAGTGTTCCTCATTCAAAACTGAGTGTTTTGATTAGTTGTTCCCAAAATGGGATCATGAAGGACTCGTCAATGTGCCTCTCTGCCCTGACTTTTTGTCACCTGCCCATCTCCCTCCCTGCAGCTCCTCCTGAAACTTCAGCTCCTCAGCCTGTTCCTGTTCCTGCTCAGCAGGAGGAAGAGAAAGAGGCACAAGCAGGTCCTTCAGGAGAAGGAGAAGGAGGCCATGGAGTGGAAGGTGGGGAGCAGGCTAGCCAATGCTGCAAGGTTAAAGGCCCTCGCTGGATAAGAGCCTGTGTGCACTACCGCTTCCCTGCCAGCATCGACCCTTTTACCAGTAAGAAGAACCTTGTACAACTTGCTACCTGCTACAGTAAAATCTACTTTACTTAAACTTATCAAAAACAAATGACAAGTGCTGGAACCAAGTGCTGGGCGTAAAAAAAGTAGGTCTTTCCTTTCACATCCAGCTTAGCTACGACCGACTTCTAGACTTAAAGGGATATTTCACCCATTGAAACATGAATCTGTATTGACATTGGGTCATATATGTAGTAGAAATGTGAAATACATTGCGGGCAGACGGACGCCGACACAAACACTTGAAGGAGTCTTGGTGTTCATGCGTTACTTTTAATGACAGCTGTCCTGTTCTATCGGAAAGGTATCCTTAAATGACTTATTGATTTCCGACTCTATCCACTATCCTATCTCTACAATAAAGGCACAAAACGCCCAAAAACAAATCTAAAAAAAAAATATATATATATTTTTTTTTAAATTAACTTGACCTTCAAGGGGGGCGGGCCGCGTACATTTCCAGAGTGTGTCTGATCACAGGTGACCCTCTCCCTCGTCTTCATGCCTTTCCAATGATCATCCTGTAAACAAGAAACGCTGCCATCATGTTTTCCTATTAAGTTGTTTACTTTACTTTTTCAGGTTTGTGTTACCTTGGATATTAGTCTGATTTTCGAACTTGTGCCTGCTCCATCCTAGGCATAAAAGCTTCACCCAGGAGTAACACAAACAGGGCTGAAGTCCAACTAGTGCACAGGGTATAAATTGAAGTTGGTTGTAAGATTTATCTCTAAGGTTACACCCAGGCGTACACCGACCTTGTGCACTCGGCTCTCGGAGTCTTACTAACCAAATAGTGAATACATTTCTACAACGACACATCACAACAGCAAAACATTAACTTTTGCTCCACTACAAACGTAAATTTTTTCTTATACTTATTCTGATGATGATAAAATGTGATGATCATGGAATATGATGTTTGGGCTGAGATGAATCTACTGTATTCATGAGTAGTAAACCTGTCTCTTACTCATGAGTGAATTCATGTTTTTCTCTTCCATTTGTTTCACATTGAGCTAGGCTATTTTTTTGTTTATAACATCTTTTTTGCAAATGTAATTTCTCCTTAATAATACGGATTAGAACCTGCTTATTAGTCATACTCTACTTCCCTCACTGTCTCTCTCTCCCTGCCTCTAACCTCTCATCTGTGTCTCTCTGTCAGACCTTATGTATGTGCTGTGGATGTTGTTGGTCTCTCTGGCGTGGAACTGGAACGTGTGGTCCATCCCTGTGCGCTGGGCCTTCCCTTACCAGACTCCAGACAATATTTACTACTGGCTGCTGACCGACTACCTGTGTGACCTCATTTACATCCTTGACATCACCATTTTCCAGCCTCGCCTGCAGTTTGTTCGCGGGGGAGACATAGTGGTGAGTAGGACTCTGCCAGCTACTTCAATGAGAAGAGAAGAAATCTGTACATCTGGGGACAAAGACCTAAAATCATGTTTACAAAATGATTACACTGCTCTGCGGACTTCAAGGAGCAATATGAAACTCTGACATGTAGCTTTTAAAATTGGTACGGCAATCCAAATTCAAAACATTGAAAAGATCTGTCTCCCCCCGCCCCCTCCTCCCTCTAGTCCATGTCATGCGGAAACCTTAAAACCTTTCTGCGTTCTAACCTCTCTCCATTTTTCTAAAGCATCGCCAATATTGATCCTAGTTTGAGCACGTTTCTGCTCGTGGAGCTTATTAGAAACATGCAGAGGCTTTTTAGGTCTGGTCTCTGGTCAAACAAATCCAGAGCATTCAGGAGCAGAATCTAAAGTTAGAAGGAGGACATACTGACTGCTGCATTGTTGTCAGAGTAGCCAGCACTTCAACATAGCATGTTTCCTTAATGTCTGATCATATAGTAAGGTCACTTTATCATTCAGTAGACATTTGACATATTAGTCCTTTAAAGTAGTAGCTGATGTTGTCAACTTAAGAATCAATCTACCAAGATAAAAGTTTATATCTACTGTTGTGTTGTTTTTTGACAGAGTGACAAAAAGGAGATGAGAAAGAATTACATGAAATCCAAACGATTCAAAGTAAGTCAATCAAAATTAATGAAGCCCATTTTTGTTTTGCTTTTATTTATAACATGAGAAAAAAGAAATCATTGAAGCATTTCAGTCAATTGGTTTATCCTGTCCTGTTTTTCAGTTTGATGTGGCCAGCCTTGTACCTTTGGAAATTTTCTATTTGAAAACTGGCGTCAACCCTCTGCTCCGCTTACCAAGGCTGCTGAAGGTGAGCTTTATTGTCCCTTTTCAACACATTACAGCTTTTTAAGATTTAAGCAATGTGGCAATATAACAATATGTTTTGGCAGGAATGTCAATCAAACATCCAAAGCCAGACATAAATATGTTACCCTGACAAAGAAAAATATGGATTCGTATAAAATGTTAATTTTCAAGACTTTATGTTTTCATTTTGGAAAATCAGATCAATCAATGAATTAATCAATCTATCAATCAATCATTATTGGTATAGTGCCAATTCATAATAAGTGTTATCTCGAGACGCTTTACAAAAGATGTCGGTTATCAAGTTAACAAATCTTCAAATATTATCTGCTCTCCTTGCCTCTCCAGTTCAACTCCTTCTTTGAGTTCAACGAGCGTCTGGAGGCAATATTGACCAAAGCCTACATCTACAGGTCAGCTGCAGCATGATGGTTCATACAGCCCTACACCACAGTCTCCCTTTTTGTCTTTCTTTCCCTTTTCTCACTTTGTCTTCCCCGATGTTTCTGCCTCTCAGTTTAAGAGACATTAAAGTCATTAATCTCTGTCTCTTAGGGTGATTCGCACCACCACATACCTTCTATACTGTCTTCACTGTAATGCCTGCCTTTACTACTGGGGCTCTGCATTCAAAGGACTGGGATCAACCAAGTGGGTGTACAACGGAGAGGGCAACAGGTCAGTGGAATAAACATGCACACACAAGTGATTGCTGATTTTCACTTAAGATAAGGACAGCAGTTTAAAGGTGAGTTATTGGTGCACAGCTGTTAATACAAGTTAAGATAAGGTCAGGTTGCTTCCCAGTATTTCATTATTTTGCACCTCTTTGATTACTCAAACAATCCAAAGTAAATGTCCCTTAGTCTGTATTATACAATATAGTTGCATCTTTTGACATTTCACTGTTATGATTCACAAACTGGGTCCATCTTATTTATAGGTAGCTAATTTCCTATGTCGTTTCTTTTGACTGCTACATGTCTTTGTCTCTGCTCAGTTACATTCGCTGTTACTACTTTGCTGTGAAGACTCTGATCACCATTGGTGGTCTGCCAGACCCCACCACCCTGTTCGAGATCATCTTCCAACTCATCAACTACTTTGTTGGAGTCTTTGCCTTCTCTATCATGATTGGACAGGTGTGTAGATGAAATGTAAATGTTACTCAAAGTGCTTTTTACACCACAGGTCACACCTACTCATTCACACAGTAGCAGAGGCTGCTATTTAAAGTGTTCATCAGTATTAACTAACGGTAGCAACTTGGGGTGAAGTGTCTTACCCAAGGACACATCGCGACATTGTGACTGCAGGAGCCGGGGATAAAACCCTTGACCTTCCGGTTGAGAGACGACTGACGCTGAAAGCTGAGCCACAGACATTTGTGTCTCTTTCACATTAAAGAGCTCATATTATGCCCCTTTTGGGGTTCATATATTTAATCTATGTACCTACTGAAGTATGTTCACAATAACTAAAGTTATAAAAAAATGTCTGTTTTCATGTACTGCCGCTCCATGCACCGGCTCGCTTCTGACTCTCTCTCTAAGGCTCTGAAGTGCCCACGTTCAGAGCCCCCACCTGTGCCAAGTCTGATCTGATTGGTCGGTCTGTCGGCTCTGCCGTAATTGGTCAGTCTCTCAGCACGGTTCTCGGAAATGTCACGCCCCTTTTACCATATTGGGAATGCAGCCACTGGCTCCGTCCGAGGGGAGAAAAAACATTAGCATGTTAGCACTACTGTGCTACCGCAGGCTACGGCATATCGTGGCGTGCTACAGAAGTTAACAGGCGTGCAAAATGAGCTGCTGGGCTTGCCACAACGAGCCAATGAGCTTAGATCAGTGATATCACACTGACAAGACGTCACACTGGCAAAATTTTTATCGAGGGGGGCTAGAACCGAGCGTTACATGCAGCTAATGCTACAGCTAACAGGAGGACGTAGGAGAAGCCGCGTTCCGCGGACTTTGAATTTTTTCACATAGATGTGCCTAAACATGCACAGGACATTTGGAAAACACACTAAAGAGCATATAAAACCAGAAAAAGCATAATATGACCTCTTTAAATGTACAAAATAATAGCAGCTCCAGTATTTTTTTATAATAATTAGACAATAGTTAATTTCTTTGTGCAAAGATGTTCAAAGGTAAAGATGGTCTAAAAGGCTTTATATGCGATTTTTTGATCCAACAGATGTCGCCCTTGAGCACCAGCATGAAACCAAAACAACTCGCGGTGCATTGTTGTGTTAGCATGCTAATGCTAGCGATCTTTATTATGCTCGTATCTTCACACTGCATGTAAATTTACCTGAAATGAGCGTGATCTAGAAACACAGTTAAGCAGTGAGTACAGTATGTTATTCTTCTTTTCTCTAGTCCCTCAATTAAACAACTTTTATACTCGAGGGGAGGAGTCAGCCGGCCGTCTGGGCGATGTAAACAAAGTGAAGATAGGACTCTGAAAACTCTGAAAACATCACAGACAGTGGGACTCTGGTGTTATACCATTGTAGACAGTCATGACTCACAGAGTTATTTTCAGAGGATATACTTGATTTCTATTATATTTAAGAGTGAAAAATCACATATTAAGCCTTTAAATGAACAGTTTTTTGGATTGTTTTGCTCAAATATTCTTCAGATGCGTGATGTGGTTGGGGCAGCCACAGCTGGTCAGACCTACTACCGCACATGCATGGACAACACCATTAAGTACATGTACTCCTACCGCATCCCCAAAGACGTCCAGAACCGCGTCAAGACATGGTATAACTACACCTGGCAATCACAAGGCATGCTGGGTAAGAAGAGCAGAATGGTTTTCATGCACTTCTTTCACCTGACTTTTCAGTTTTACTCTAAGTCTTATTATCTTCGTCCCAGATGAGCAGGAGCTGCTCACGCAGCTGCCAGATAAAATGCGTCTGGACATCGCCGTAGATGTTAACTACTCCATCGTCAGCAAAGTTCCACTTTTTCAGGTAGGAAGTCTTTAAATACACGTAAAACAACATCATGACATACTTCATGGCAGTATATATTCCAAAACATTGTTTTGTTCTGCACTTTTACAGGGTTGTGACAGACAGATGATCTTTGATATGCTGAAAAGCCTTCGCTCAGTTGTCTACCTACCTGGGGATTATGTTTGTAAAAAGGTACACCATCTCTTTTTTCCTCTTAGGAATTTTTTTTTTTTTTTTCTTTTTCCCTTTTTTTTATTCACTCTATCATCTCATTCATATCCTGCTTAGGGCGAGGTGGGTCGGGAGATGTACATCATAAAGGCGGGCGAGGTGCAGGTGGTTGGAGGACCAGATGGGAGGACAGTTTTTGTCACTCTTGGAGCAGGATCAGTCTTTGGAGAGATCAGGTGAAGAGATTTTAAGAGTTTGTGTTGAATTTATTATTATTGGAAATTAACAACAGATCAATTAGTCTTAAGTTTTAGTGTCTTAGATGACAACTGTATACAAATAACCTTAATACAGGGGAAAAAACCTCCAAATATTTCATAAAATAATTGAATTGTCCTGTGTGTTCCAACACTTGGTCCCTTTAAACCCGGATTTTTCTCCTTGGCAGTTTACTTGCAGTAGGCGGGGGTAACAGACGCACAGCAAATGTAATTGCTCATGGCTTTGCCAATCTCTTCATCCTGGACAAGAAGGACCTGAATGAGATCCTGGTCCACTATCCAGAGTCCAAGAAGCTGCTTCGCAAGAAGGCCAGGTTAAACACACTGCGCTTTTTAAACGACAATAACAATTACTGTAACCAACTCTGGCATGACGTTTTTATCTGTCACGCCCCTACTTTAGTACATTTATTAATGTTTTTATGGATTACATGAGTTGAATAAGAAGATGCTGCTGTCTCAACCACAGGAAGATGCTGACAACGGGAAAAAAACCTGAGCCAAAAGAGAAGCCAAAAGATTCCCCTCAGGTCCCGGCAGCCCCTGTAAAGCCAGAGACACCCAAACTGCTGAGAGCAGCTCTGGAGATGACTGAGAGATCCTCTGGACTCAAAGGAGCTTTGGCTAAAGTCAAAGAGAAGACAAACAAGTCCAGTATCTCATTGCAGGTAAACTACATCAAACCTGAGCACATTCACAAGAAAGAGAGTTCTTTATAAAGAAAATGCATCTCTTTTCTTCTTATGCAGCCCTCCATCTCCTCCTCCCTGCCTCCACCATCTCCCACCTCCAGCTCTGGACCAGAGAGAGATGATGACACACCATCGCCCGTCTTTGCCGGCTCCGCCTCATTTCGATCCGCTTCCTGCTGCCACAACGATGACTCTGTTGTTCCTCACTCTGCATCACAGAGCCACCAAGATGCAGAGTGAATGCTCACCGGGGACCAAAGAGAAAAGGGAGTCAATAACGATGAGGATGAAGGGAACAAGTGTGGGAAGAGGAAAGGAAAGGAGTTGTGATAATTCTCTTAAGGACAAGGCAAGGAAGGGAAACCAGAAAATGTTGACAGCTGCAAGGCCATTAGAGTGAACAAATGGTAATAAAGTTAAAACTTCTCTAAAAGTAAATGGACAAATTCACAACGCTGAAAGTACTCGCCAGATATCTACAGAATGATTCAAGTCGAGGGAGAAGACGTGTTGTAAATTAACATGTCCACAAACTGTCATGGCTTGGTGTTAACCTGATCTCCTCAAGTTGTGAAATTTGCAGAATTTAAAACGTAGTTCAGTATCCACCCTGACTCATGAAAAAAAAGCTCTACCGTTATATACATAATAATAATAAAACAGCATACTGTCTTCAATATGCTGTGCTTTTGTGATGTGACCTGTACTTACACTCTATCTCAAGGGCTGTGTTTTACATGAGAACAGCTACAGCTTATGGACTTCACTGTGTCTGCTTTTTGAGCTGTACGGCTGGAAAGTACCGCTTCGTTCTCCCATTGCTTTGCTGCTTTTTACATCCACGTCCGTGTTCATCTTCACTAATCATTCGTCATTATAAGATCATCTAATGGAGGAGCAATCAATTCCAGGCCTGGTAACCACAACAGATTCAAGCCTAATTCCAATCTTCACTGAGTATACATCAGTGCTTTCACTGTGGTGACCATGAGCATTGAAACCTGTGTGGGGTGGCACACTGAAGGCATAATGGCTAACTCTGTAGTTTCTACTAAACTGACCCATAACTTTTTTTCTAAACACTCCAACACTGTTTTTGCTGTTGTTGTCTGCTAACCGTTTACAGATTATTTAGAAAACTTAAAAGTTGCCTTATATGTTTTGTCCCTGCTTTACTGTGTGTGTTGTGTGAGTAGCTTGCACTGTTGATGGTTTTACAATTACTTAAAAAAATATTAAAATTACAGACCTGGTAGCACTTTTTTAGGTTGTAAAAACATCATCGTCGCTACTTCCACCCAGATGTGAGACAGACCAAGCACAGTATCGTTTATATTGTGTTATATACATTTTCAGTCTGTCTTTGGCCATCACTTCTTTAAACAAGCTCAAACGTCATCTAGCCTCTTATTACCTCAAAAGTGGATTTCACATGCTTATACATGCTTATAATCTTACTTACTAACATTTAGCCATGTATACATGTAATACTATTACTGTCATATACATTTTACAACCGATTAATGTTTTTATTTTGTACAATGTAAATATATTTGGTTTTTAAATCTAGATAATTTTCAGGTAAAATCGCTGTTGTCTCTGCAGTTGTACATGCAGTCTAATAATGTAAAATATTTCATTTGTGCTGTAAATGTGTCCAGGATTCAGTAGTCATTTTAGATTTATCATTTTTATATTGATGAATTAAAAAATGAATACAGCCTCAGAAAATGGGCCCGCAAACCGGCTAACCATACTGCCAGACAATCTAGAAGTTATAAGTATTGTGTGTGTGTGTGTGTGTGTGTGTGTGTGTGTGTGTGTGTGTGTGTGTGTCCAAGTTTGTTTTGAGAAATTAGTGCTTATAAAGGACTCAATAAATGTGTATTTATGTGAATATAATCTTGAATTTGTCCCTGATGTAGCTGTCTTTTTGTGACATTTTGTTCAAATAAATGATTGTTCTCGGCACACATTTTCCCGTTTTATTCATGTCCCACAATAACTCCTCACCCTGTAAAACTCACTATTCATAGTCTATAAGTTCTCTAAACCACAAACCAAAACAAAAATTACAATAGTTAAAAGGAATCAACAGATTTGCAGTGAATGTGTCCTCTTTCAGCTGTTTGTATTGTAGGTGAGTATTATCACAGTAAGGTATCAGCATATAAATGATTTCCATACATCCTACACCACTATCCTAATATTGCTTTTATATAAAAAATATATCTTTTCAATAATAAGTTTCAGGCTGCCTGAAAAGGACGATGGAAACAAATGTCATATGTCGTATATATCTCTTGTTTTATTTCAAAGATTTTCTCATGTTTTTCCTATTATTCTCTTGCTTCACCAGAAGAAAACCCTGTACTGCTAGATGAACCCAGCTAACTGCTGGTCCTGCAGGTCCTTCCGTTGCTAAAACACAAGACCAGATTTTCGGCTGAGCGGGCTGCTGGACCTTCTGAACCATTTCGGACCCAGCCTGTGAATTTGGAACCTGCTCTATATGTGACGTAATATTATGAAAGAATGCGTCTTTGGACCCAGTAAATGTTCATATAAAAACCTGTCCGAAAATGGCCATTGATAAGGCAAAACACTTCATGTTTTAGGAGACGTAAGTGCACAATTGTGTCATATTATCTCATGGGGGACTCTGGGACTGTGTCCGAATCCACTTACTACATACTGCCTACTACATACTCAAAATATATATAGGCATACTGCATATAACCCGACCGTTAGTATGCCGTGGGCAACATATGAAAATACAGGTCAGAACGTTCTTCCGGTCCCAAACTTCGTTGGATGAGCTAGCATCAAGCTATCGCGACAGTCAGTCCATAAATATAATTCAACAACAATATGCAAACATTCATTCCTAATGCAACAGCGTAGTCATTTTGATAAAATTTGGCAACATGTTAAATTTTTTTCAGCACAGAACTTTTATTTTAAGCCGCTAGTTATCTGGGCCGTGGTATGACCAGTACGCTCCCATTTCAATTCTGGCCAATCTAGTATACATCTGAGTATTTCTTGCATACAAAAAAATTGCATACTTTGATTTCGGATCATACAACTTACTCAGTGTGACGTCATATTTAGTATGAATTGTATGAAAGTATGCAGTTTCGGACACAGCCTGGGTCTCTCTACAGTAGTACCAAGCAGCAACCTCCGGTCTGGAAAAATGAAGCCAATGTGGAAGTGCAATATCCTGCAGTACGCTGAGTGTCTGCATGAGGCTGGCTGCAGGAACACACATGACACAGTTACATACACATAACTGGCAAAAAAGCTGTTTCAAAGCATAAATGAACATGTTTACAGCCTATATTTTCTAAACAATTGCACTATACAGTAATTTTCTTGGGTCCCCAACATGCAAGTTTCTCTCAGTGCAGTGTCAGATATGTGTACGTAAGTGGCCCTGATTTGGACCAGGTGTGGGAAACGTGTTCCAGCACTCTGCTGGCTCTCAGAGATAGAAGGCCTCATTCACAAACTGTGCGTACACACAAAGTTTGCAGTTTGTACGTTTGTTGCTGCACAAATCAGGGATTCATCAATTTATTCTTACTCTGCAAACAAAAATAGAACTTCCTCAGACCGTGCGTCAAAATGATTGACCAGCTTTCTCAGAAAATGTTAACTTAACTCTTTAACTAAATGCATGACATATTAAAAATACATTCTGTAAAAAAAATATAGATATACTGTATATATATGTTTCATAGACAAGAATTAAAAACGTGAATTTACTAATGCATTGACTAAATGTATAAAATAATCATAAAATGTATGCACCTCTTGAAATGTAATGGTTTTGACTTTCATTTAATCGTGACCCCTTCCACTAATATTGCAATGAAATATTGCATGTTACCAAAACCAGCTGATTAATTGGAGCCTATTCAAGGGCATGCAGGGAACAACCAAGAAAGTGTAAAGATCTAGCCTTGCTGAAAGAAATTTCAGCCAGTTCCATCAGAAGAGAGCATAGCAGACCGTCACAACATGTTTGAAGAGTGTGACGAATGACTGATCGGCTGATTCAAACTGCCAATGCGTGTACTGAATTGAATTGTCATATATGTTGTCAAATTTGCTCTACCTCGGGCAGGGGTATCTCAACTTCATCTATTAGATTTTATGATTAATAAAAACTCTACGTAGCTTTTGAGTAATATACTAATCTATTAATGTGTGTATTTATTGATTTATATTAAGCGCTTTCAGTCTGGTGTCCGTAAAGCGCATCTACCTAAACAACCAGTTTACACAAGAAGTATAACATGTGAAAATGTAAACTCTTTGAAAGCCTCCATTTACTTTTCTTCTCCTGTCAGCGCCTAAAGTATTTTAAGACCTGACTTGAAGGCACTTGTAATTGTCAAATATGTCATTCTCTGAAACGACATTTAAGCCCCTGGACACAGCTCTCTTTTTTACCTTTTGGGGCCATCTCTTGCAACTTTTATTTGTTGACAAACATGGAGCATCTTGTCCTAAAGGTTTCACTAATAATGAAATAGACTACTTCCTTGTGTAGTCGGTAAAAACAGTTAAAGAGAAGTTTTCACTTCAACTTGTAAGACCTTGTTTATCTGTAAAATGATGAACAGGACACAAACTGTCTCTGCACATGAGACACTTTAACAAGGCAGACCGATAACAGACACAAATAGTTGTGTTGGTGCTTTACTTTTGTAAATATAATATTTTTAAGCCTTAGCTCTTGTAGACATACAAAATCTAATTCCGTATGTAAAAGGTAGTTCACTTGTTCACTTTATCTTTTCTACATTAGTAGAAAATTTAGACCCCATTTACACAAAAACGCATATATTTTCATGTGGTTTGGCCTCTCATTTACATGAAAACGGAGGTTTTATCACGGAAAATTATCATTTCTGAAAACGCCGTTTTCGTGTTTGTGTGTTTACTGGGTGAAACCGGAGTTTGAGGTTATCAAATGTCACATGCAACAGAAAATGCTCAACGTCATGTGAGCGTCCTATCATGGATGCTGTTGAGGTGGTACTTCCCTCTGACTGCCCTCATTTCCGTCGACAGGTGCCCCCCCGAGTTATTTCCTCCTTTACATGAGGATACTCCTCAGAGGTCTTGGACGGGTACTGTTCCAAGAACAATGCCAACATGTCCTCGTATTTTGTTTGGCATGATTCCCAATCTACATTTTATTGGGCTTTACTTGCCTCATAATCTAAGGCGACACGAAGGAGTAGCTCCACTTCACTGTCAGTCCAAACAAATGGACCTCTTGCCATATTTACCATTTTTGAAAGGAACAGGAAGTCGCTCGTGTTATTCGTTGTTGTTGTTGATTCTGAGGATTCTGATTGGCTTGCATGGCTTTAGCCTTTCTCGTTAAACTGCCGCCTATAGGTTTATAGTATAGTTTATCAAAAACAATCTGGTGTGTATGACGTTATTGAAAACGGAGGTCCCATATTATGCTTTTTCTGGTTTTATATGCTCTTTAGTGTGTTTTCCAAGTGTCCTGTGCATGTTTAGGCACATCTATGTGCAAAAATTCAAAGTTCGCAGAAACGTGGCTTCTCCAACGTCCTCCTGTTAGCTGTAGCATTAGCTGCATGTAACGCTCGGTTCTAGCCCCCCTCGATAAAAATGTGTCAGTGTGACGTCATTGTCAGTGTGAGATCACTGATCTAAGCCCATTGGCTTGTTGTGGCAAGCCCAGCAGCTCATGTTGAAATTTCCGAGACGCGTGCTGAGCAACTGACCAATAAGGACAGAGCGGATCGGCAGACCAATCAGAGCAGACTTGGCCAACGTGTTGTTGCTGTTGTTGTTGTTGTTGTTAACTAACTTGGATTAAAGTTAAGACTAAAGTACAAACAGGTTAGCCAATCTCGAAGTTAACTTACCTCGCCATGGTGATTTCTCAGCCGGAGATACATGACTCTCCATCTCTCTCTCTCATCAATAACAATAATAATTGAATAAACAAAATAAATAAAGTTAAAGCTAAATGCTCCATTTGACTAAAATTAAATTAATAAGTAGCTAAGTTAGAAAAGAAAGTTAATTAATGAGAAGGAAAAGGAAAAACGTTAGCCTAACTGATCTGTCAAAAACCATCAAAATGAACGCTGTCAGGGTTGCTAGGAGACAGAACAGTTAGTGACGCAAGTAGGAAGTACTCTCGTAGACCAGACCGTCTCATTTTGGAGACCGCTCGGTTCAGCCTTCTCAGTCTATGGAGGACGAGAAGACCACGCCCTTTGAAGGCTGGAATGGGACACAGCTACAGTGTGTAGCATTATGGGTAATGAGGTGGTGATGTTCGATTAAACAGTCTGACGGCAGATGGGATGAACGACCTGCGGTAGCGCTCTGTCTTGCAGGGTGGGTGTCTGAGTCTGCTGCTGAAGGAGCTGCTCAGGGCCCCCACAGTGTCATGCAGGGGGTGACAGGGGTTGTCCATGATGGATGTCAGCTTCACTAACATCCTCCTCTCACCCACCTCCTCTACAGAGTCAGAGGAGTAGGCCTTCAACAAACATAAAACAATTACATCACAACCATTATCAAATAGCCTAATTTAATTGGACAAGAGGCATAAAATACTATACATATTAAAAGAATAATAATAAAAATAACATTCTTGTAACATTTCATATGAAAAGTTTATTAATTAATCATTTTATGAAAACATGCATAACTTTTGGCAGCACATGCCTTTTTTTAATGATTTACAGATTTCAGAGAGATATTAATAGTCATGTATAAAGCTTTAACAGACAAATTGAAAGATTTAGACAGAGCTGTCTATTTGATTAACAATTAATAAAGGGATTAATAAAGGATAAATTAAATTAAATTAAATATGCCACATCAGAGGTCAGCTGAAAATCTGGCACAAAAAATTCAAAGTGGAGTGGATCAAACGGCTGCAATGAAGAGGGGAAAGGCACTGGAACCAGTTGCCATCCAGGAATATTGCAGGGTCAAAAACACCAATTACCGGTACTGGCCATGTGGGTTTGTCATCCCTCCAGATGCCTCCTGGTTAGGGTCCTCTCCTGACAGTGTGTTGTTTGATCCGACTGAAAGTCCACGATTCGGCCCTCTGGAAGTGAAATGCCCCAATGCAAAGAGCTATGTTGACTTGAAAATGCAGAGTCACAGCTACTACTTGCAGGTGCAGGGCCTGCTGTTATTGACAGGGATGGAGCGGTGGGATTTTGTTGTTTTTGCAGAGGAAGATACAGCGCATCTACAGGGACTCTGATGTGTTTAAAACCATTAGGGAGAAGGAAAATTATTTTGTATTTTATTTTTACTTGGAAGTTTAAACAAAACTGTAATTTGAAGCAGGGTGTTTTCAGGTCCTTAAATAAAAACCCACTCCAATAATCGTATTCATAACCCTGCCTCCAACTTGCCTGCTTGGGGACATTTGCCTTAGCCTTTTCACCTGTCTTGGTGATTCCCAAAAGCAGGGCCCCGAAGGAAAGCTATGACAAGAAGAAAGAGATCTACTACAATTCTTACAGACACACCAGTCAGGAATTCCCTTGAGGAGGAGCAGGAGAAGGCATTCATGTCAAAAGTAAAGCGAAAGGTATTTTCAGAAAAGGAGAAAACAGAAAAGAAGATAAGAAATAAGTACACAAAATAAAATGAGAATGGAAGTGCGGAGGAGGAATTGAGTCCACATGAGCAGAATAAAACATCTTTCTCCAAAGGTAAACAACAGGCATCTACAGAACAGGAAAACAATGCAAGGAGGAAAAGAAACAAGTGCACAAAAGAACATGAGGATGAAAGTGAGGATGAGGAAGCCTACTGCATTGTCTGCCTGGAAAGCTATTCATAACCTAAAGAGGTCTGGCTCTCTTGTGTTTCTTGCAAGGCCTGGGCACATCTTGCCTGCACTGATGGCAGTGCCATCTACATGTGCCATAACATGTTGTTTCAACATCACTCTCATCAAAATGATGATTGAAACATTAAGTCAACATTGTTTCAATAATTGTTCATTGTCTGGGCTTTAATTTTAACAGATGTGAAACGACAGTGGTAGATCAAGCGACAGTGACCAAGCAACTATTGAAAAAATACTGTATTTGCGTGTAATGTTTAAAAAGTGCACTTTCAATTGAGTGAGTGGGGCTTCCTTTCTTATGTCCTTAACACCTTATTCTTTGGCGTTTCTGTTTTCTTGTATTTTGAAAATCCCCCAGAAGCGTGTACGAAAGTTACATAATAAAGTTCCGCTCCTGATTGGACGATACAACATACGCTAGCTTTGTCCAATAACGTGTCAGCTAGGCGGAGCAATAAGAATATATAAACAGAGAGTCGACGGTGATAAAATAATTCACATTTCTTTACAGAAAAGAAATTAATATCGAACATGTCAGGAAGAGGAAAGACCACCGGGAAGGCCAGGGCAAAGGCGAAGAGCCGGTCATCTCGGGCCGGGCTTCAGTTCCCTGTCGGCCGGGTCCACAGGCTGCTGAGGAAGGGGAACTACGCTCAGCGTGTCGGCGCCGGAGCTCCCGTCTACCTGGCGGCGGTGCTTGAGTACCTGACGGCTGAGATCCTGGAGCTGGCTGGAAATGCAGCCCGTGATAACAAGAAGACCAGGATCATCCCCCGTCACCTGCAGCTGGCTGTCCGCAACGACGAGGAGCTCAACAAGCTCATGACTAACGTCACCATCGCTCAGGGCGGTGTGCTGCCCAACATCCAGGCTGTCCTGCTGCCCAAGAAGGCCGAGAAAGCTGGCAAGGCCAAATAAGTCGTCCTTGAACGCAACACCACAAAGGCTCTTTTAAGAGCCACACACACATCCTATCGAGTTTCTTCCTGTTACAGTGAAAATTAGGTAGTCACTGAAAAACAAATGTCTTCAAGTCAGGTCTCAAAATACTTTAGGCGCTGACAGGAAAAGAAAAGAAAATGGAGGCTTTCAAAGACTTTACATTTTCACATGTTATACTTCGTGTGTAGACTGCTTGTTTAGGTAGATGCGCTTTACGGACACCAGACTGAAAGCGCTTAATATAAATCAATAAATACACACATTAATAGATTAGTATATTACTTAAAGGCTACGTAGAGTTTTTATTAATCATAAAATCTAACAGATGAAGTTGAGATACCCCTGCCCGAGGTAGAGCAAAGCATACCCATATTTTTACATAACTTGAACATATCAAGTTTATGAAACGGATTGTTGTATACAATTTTGGATGTTTTAAGCATATTAACAACAAACGAAAATAGGTCAAATTAGGAAGGGACAGCTCTAGCCTTAGCACATGTATCTCTGGGAATCAGAATTTAACCAAATTTGGACAGGATGTTTACAGATAGTTACTAGTTACAATTATGCAAAGTTTTTATCAATACCACTTTGAATTTTTCACACTTAAACACACATGTAGTTTAGGCGGAAATTGAAACAAAAATTCAAAAGGTGTGTATATCAAAGTCTGTCATTTCTTAAGTAAGGACACCAAACATTAAAATATGTAATCTGTATCTTCTTTAGACTGTTATCTCAACATAAAAGCAAGTTATTTGACTTTTCACTTGACCCTATGCTGTCACCAGCCCCTAACAGGAAACTAGTGCAGCCAGGATTTCAGGGCGACCTGGTACAATGGGGCCCTATGGATGTGTATGTGGGAGGAGGTGGCCACAAACAATTGATTAAGACTCAACAACACACAATATAATTGTATTCTGTAATATATATATATATAATTAAACATTTAATAGTAATTCCTAATACATTTTGTCTCATATTTTCTATCTTACATATGATTTATATGATGACACTCAGAGTCAACTCGCTGCTTTCAACAATATTATCACCATGACATTGTTTCTATTTCATTCTAAAAAATTTAACTTTTTCCTTTTTGGGGGGTTTGTTCCTCTACAAGGCTTAAACTAGTTCTTGAAGTTCTTCCTAACCAAACAAGTGAAGACATAATTCCTGGGGAGGAGAAAAACTGTGATCACAGTTACAGTGTGCTGAGATTATAACAAATAACCCTGTAGGTTACTGTCAGCAGATACTGTAAATAGATGTAATAATAACACTGATCAAGTCATTTTAAAAACAATGTACAAATGAAAGGCTGCAGAGTAATACGATTATTTTAATGTAAGGCTAAATGTCATTTATCCTGCAACTGACCAAAGAAACCCCAGCAACTCAACCCTCCATAACCCAGTAGTTTCCTCCCAGCCGATGCTGCCTGAACATATATCACACATCTTGCACACACCCAGACAAATTGATAATATACATTTTACATAGACACAAACGCACATTTCCTTTTTGTTTGAATGTTTTCTTTTATTTATTTTTCGTTTAATTTTGGTGCCTTGGTCTGCATGTGCCCTGTAAACCTTAAGTCATCTGCCTCCTGCCCCCTCAGCTGATATAACTGAACCCCCCCACCCTATGGATAGAAAAGGGCAGAAGCCCTGAACTATCCCACCAGGATCCTGATGATTTAGCCTTCGGAGTCAGTTCGTCTTCAGAAGAATTATCATCTTATCAGAATGAGTGGTCGCGGAAAGGGAGGGAAAGGACTCGGTAAAGGAGGCGCCAAGCGTCATCGTAAAGTCCTCCGTGATAACATCCAGGGAATCACCAAGCCCGCCATCCGCCGTCTGGCTCGCCGTGGCGGTGTGAAGCGGATCTCCGGTCTGATCTATGAGGAGACCCGCGGTGTGTTGAAGGTGTTCCTGGAGAACGTGATCCGTGACGCCGTCACCTACACCGAGCACGCCAAGAGGAAGACCGTCACCGCCATGGATGTGGTTTACGCTCTGAAGAGACAGGGCCGCACCCTGTACGGCTTCGGAGGTTAAACCTGTTACTCCACCTGGATACTAAACAAAAGGCTCTTTTAAGAGCCACACACATCACCTAGAGAGCTTTATTCACACTCATTTAACTAACACTTTACAATAGATCATTACATAATAACCCAACTGTTTAACTTACAAATTATGCCATTTTGGTCCTTTTCGTAGAGTCACGGATGGAAGTTTTTATTAACCTAATTTCTCCTCTTAACTCCGGTACTAGAGAAGTCTGACGGCCGCAGAAATCTCGTCTTCTACGCATTAAGGGCAGCAATCGAGTTTAAGTGCCCCATGTAACATGTTGTTCAATCATCATATGTCCAAAATGTATTTTTTCAATTTGAAAATAGTGACAAGAATCTACCCTTTATTGCAGATACTTGAAAAACGGATAATGAATGAGTTTAAAGGATGATTGTTTCCACTTCGTGTAATGACATGAACAGTTGTAGTGTTGTGGCGGAGACCTGCAGCTCTGAGTGGGGTGAAGTGGCTCTTAAAAGAACCTTTGTTTTCTGTATTATGGAGTTTTATGCCGCGGGCCAGCTGGATGTCTTTGGGCATGATGGTGACCCTCTTGGCGTGGATGGCGCACAGGTTAGTGTCTTCAAACAAACCGAGCAGGTAAACCTCGCTGGACCCCAACTCTTGTTGGTCTAATGTGTGCAGGTGATACAACAGTTCAACAGGGGCTCGGACAAAAATAGGTCCAAGTTTACTAAAGGTGTCATCATCTCAGTTAAAAGTATGGACATGCGTTTGATATTACAAGTGTGTGCTCATCTCCTTAATATTATTGTAGTTTTCTAACAGAAATATGTATTTTATGTCTTTCCCCAACTTGTTTCATCTTCACCAAGTGTCCAAAAGCATAAAAATTTTCACAATGATTTGTGAGTCATCATTTTATTTTCAATTCACAATTGTTGAAAAGGAGTCACGTTTGATTTATTTCTTAAAGAATCGAGAACAAGACCAAATAGTTACAAGAAAAACCAAATCTCTGTTTATATAAAATACACAATTTTAGACATGTTTTCTTTTCCCCCCAAAGTATAACAGTATGAATCTGAACAGGTGATAATATATTGATAAATTGATAGTTATGTTTTAAAAGTATGATTATATTTATCTGATCAGTCAGTCAATCTTTATTTGTTTCGCACCAATTCATAACAAATGTTATCTCGAGATACATTTAAAAAGGAGCAGGTAAAAGACCTTACTCTTTGTTATTTATATCGACAAAGACCCGACATTAATCCATCAAGAGCACAGCACTCAGCAACATTAGCAGAGTGAAGGGCTTAATAATAAAAACTTTAGGCCTAGTAGTTATTCAATTAACATTTATCAATTGAAAATGTAAAGAAACTCACTACTCCAATTCATGTGAATGTCTCTTGAATGAGGGGACATTTCACTCTAAATGAATACATGGAGGGTTAGATGGTTCGCAAACCCGTAATCCGCCTGATCCAGTCCTTGTATCTCGGTTGACAGACATCCATGAATGCAGCTGGTTTAACACAGACATGAGTACCATTCATCGTGAAACTAATGACCCCGTAAATCTTGGAACCGTGCACCACTCCTCCACCAGAGTCTCCCTGTGGAAGAGATTTAAACTGTATCATTTGTTTAAAAACTTTGAATCAGTAAAATGGTCAAACACCCAATAATATCAAACAAACAAAGTTAAAATCCATTCAACCTCAATATCAAACAAACAAAGTTAAAATCCATTCAACCTCACTGGAGATATATCCACTGTATTAGATTGTCCACAGAACCAGCGTTGGTAGAGTCTGGACAGGTCATCTGGGTGAAGGCTGCGCTGCAAACAGTTCCTAGAGGTCTCACAGCTGACAACGGGAATGTCTGTGTAGCGGTTGTGTACTCTCTCTTACGTTGTGTGATGAATCAGGCAGACACTTTTACTTTTGGCACCAGCACGCCGTTTAATCTGATAACAACAGAAGCACATACGGTCTCTCACAGCCACTCTTGTAGTAATAAGCCCCAACATTGCTAAAATATAAGAACAAATAATTGAGCAACCTGTTAAGCAAGCTACACCACGGAGATCAGAAGTTACATTTTAGCTAGCAAAACACACACGTGATGAGCCTAAATGACTCAAAAACATAGTAATATGATCACAGAAAAGTTTTACAATAATTTCGGAGCTTCTCTCAAACATGTGAAATGGAAAAATATTACTTTTATCAAGAAAAACGAACATATTTTATAGTATTTAGGCGGAGCTCATTTACACATAAACTTACCACGGGGACAGCATAGTGCAGACTGGCAAAGATACACGGGCTGCACCGCTCAAGTCTGCAGGGACACCAGCAGAGGGCGCTCATGTTACACAGAGTCCCAGTGGATACTCATTAGAATTAATTATAAACAGTATTTAAACAATAGAAATAGTCAAATAAAGACATTCTATGCCAAGTGATGGCAAGTGGAATCATTAACTCCGTTACATTCCCCCCTACTGATCTCCACTTGCCCATCTGAACAAAACAAAAACAATTATGCAAGTTCTGTGAGGACACCCTGAACCAAAAACATAACAGGTACCAAAAAATAGATACATACAGTCATGGTAGAGAAAAAAAATACATATTTACCCAGTACTGATTGTTTTACTGATACCAAGCAATCCGGTCGATGACTATTCCCAAAGAATTAGAATGAGAAAGGGGAGCTAATCCTTTCAACATCCATAGGAAAACATGCCCTTTTACATGCTAAGCAACTAGGTATCACATAAATTACACAGTACTAACAAACCACATTATTTCTCATACTCAACTAGTGCTCTCACATAGCCTCCCAAGTAAGAGAAATTTTTTCAGTACAAAAGTGAACCAAAATATCGTCCCAATAGTCTTATCAAAATCCCAGGACATAACATTACTGTCCAACAAAAACCTTCTGTTGCATTTGCTGAATAAGCCTCATAACAGGTCTAACAACTCTCCCATACCTTGTATTAACACTCACTGCCCAGTCACTGCAGGGAACGTTGGTTTGAGTTCGCCCTGCCTCAGATAAGATTACACTACCTGTATCTAAGGACTGTGTCTCAAGGTCATGTTCAGAGGTCACAGGTTGAGAGTCAAATTGGTCAGCAGGACAGCCAGTGTCAACAGGCACATCAACGGTCATGTCAGGTATGTCAACAGTCTCATTCAAGTCAACAGTCAAAGGAACATCAAGTGAATCAGGTTGGTGGTCACCAGTGGATGCCGGTAGTTGCGAGATCCATGAAACAGTTCTGTCCTCAGGTTCACAGTCAGGCAGTGCAATAGAGCCTGCAACATCAACATCTTGTAGCGAGTCATCAGTAGCTCCAGCGGTAAGATCACTTAGACCAGAACCATCATCATCCTTAGACTCAGTCTGAACTGGCAGGAAGTTAACAGGCATTATGAGGTTCGTGTGGACAACTTTCTCCTGATCCGTAGCACTGTTCTTGATCCTGAAGGTGTGAGTGTTGTCCTGTTTCTCCACAACAGCGTACAGGTGGTTGTCCCAGCGATCAGCCAGTTTCCTTTTTCCTCTTTCGCCTTTATTAGCCAACAAGACTCTGTCTCCGACCTCAACCACAGCACCTTTGACCCTCTTGTTGTAATAGTCTGTTTGTTTCTGCTGCTGTTTGGTGGTGTAGACCTGAGCAATTCTCACAGCCTCTGCTAGGTCACGTCTGAGACTCTGCACATAGTCATCATAGTCCACCACCTGATCATCCATGAGGACAGATCCAAACATCACATCAACAGACAACCTGGGAGTCCTGCCAAACATCAGTTGAAACGGGGCAAAACCATTGGTCTCATGCACTGTAGCGTTGTAGGAGAAGGTGAGAGATCTCAGCAGTTGAGGCCATCTGTGTTTAGCTTTTGGGGGAAGTGCTCTGATCATATTTCCAAGGGTGCGATTAAATCTCTCTACAGCACCGTTGCCCATTGGGTGATAAGGTGTTGTATGTGACTTTTGAACCCCAGCAACTTTGAGCATCTCTGCAATCAGACTGCTTTCGAAATTAGCACCTTGATCCAAGTGTATCCGCTCAGGAAAGCCGTAAACACAGAAGAAGTTGTTCCAGAGTTGTTGGGCAACAACCTTGGCTGACTGGTTTGGACAGAGGTAGTCCTGCGCCAGCTTAGTAAAGTGGTCAGTAACCACAAGCACATCAAACGACTTGTTGGAGGAGTCCTCAGCAGACCAAAAGTCTATGCAGATCAACTCAAGGGGTCTGGATGTGGTCACATTCTCAAGCTGTGCTCTGGCCTCAGGCTCAGGAGACTTACTACACACACAACGGCGACAGCACTTCACATAGTCTCTCACATCTCTCTCCATCCCATGTCAGAAGAACCTTTGTCTAGTCAGGTAGAGCGTCCATCTTTGGCCTTGATGACCTGCCTCATCATACACACCTTTAAGGACTTTTTCTCTCAGCGCAGAGGGCACAACATAATGGTAGGTCTTTTTCTTAGTAACAGGGTCTTTTGAGACACGATCAGAACAGCTGTTTTGACCACCAGCTTATCCCAATTTCTGAGAAGTCTGAGAGCTTCAACAGGCTCATGTGAACGCTCTCGTCTTGATGGGCGCCTCTGACGTTCCACAAACAGGAGAACACGACTCAAACAAGGGTCAGCACGTTGTGCATCCATCAGCTTTTCTCTCGACAGAGGACGAACCTCAGACAGCTCAGGTGGTTGAACAGACTGAACAAGTTGAGGCAAGAGGAAGGCTTGAGGAGGCAGCTTGTCTTAGTCCAAAGACTAAGCAGAAAACAGCAGAAACAGCAGCTCTGCAGGCCACAGTCGAGCGATGTGTGTGCAGCATGACTGGACTCAAGCCTGTGTGCTGGATAACGTGACTGGGCATAGTTCAGAGATTTGCTGGCAAAGGCTATTGGTCGAGCAACATCGTCACCGTCCGCCAGTTGCGATAAAACAGCACCAAGGCCGTTGGAGGAGGCATCTACAGACAGTAGAAAAGGCTTACTAAAGTCCGGATGAGCCAGAGTGACATTGTCCAACAAAGCTTGCTTCAGCGTCTGGAAAGCTCCACTGCATTCCAGTGTCCAATCATCAGGAGTCAACTTCCTGTTCACAGGTGCGCTCTTTTTACCTTTGGCATGTCGTGGCTTTCTCATGCCTGATGTCAGGGCAAAGAGAGGCTTGCTGATGCTGGAGTAACCCTCAAAGAACTGTTGGTAGAATCCAACCATACCAAGAAATGACCATACCTTGGTGGGAGAGGGGCTGTTACTGCTCTCATCCATCAAATCCTTCTCAGTCAGATCAGTAATGGCCTTGACCTTCTCTGGGTCGGTGGAGATGCCATCTTTGGTCACAATGTGCCCGAGGAACTTAACTGTCGACCTCATGAAGTGGCACTTTTTGGGTGCCAGCTTCAAGTTGTGTGCCTGTAACTTCTCAAACACCATTTCAAGCCTTTGTAAGGCAAGCTGTTCGTTGGGGGCAAAGACAAGAATGTCATCGAGGTAACACAGGAGGCTTAAGAAGTTTTGGTCACCAAAGATGGACATCATCATCCTCATGAACGTGGCAGGGCTGTTACAGAGTCCCTGTGGAAGCCTATTATACTCGTACAACCCAAAGGGAGAGGTGAATGTGGTGAACTTCTTGTCCTCCTCATGGACTTCCACATTGTAGTAACCAGAGGTCAGATCCATGGTCGAGAAGAAAGCATTCCCTCCAAGAGCAGCCAAAGCATCAGCCTGGTGAGGCAGGGGATGTGCATCCTTGATGGTCCTCGCATTCAGCCAACGAAAATCTGTGCAAAGCCGCAGATCACCATTCTTTTTCCAAACCAAAACAAGTGGCGAAGCGTACTCACTTGTTGACTTTCTTATGATGTCCCGTACCTCCATTTCATCTAAAGCCATCCTTAGCTTCTCATAATGTGAAGGAGACAGACGACGATAAGGCAGTCTGAAGGGTCTGCCGTCACTCAGCCTGATTCGGTGAACAAAGTCTTTGGCTTTCCCACAGTCCAAACTGTGACGAGAAAATATTGACTCGTACTTGGTTACAAGTTCAACCAGCTTTGACTTCCAGAAGGGAGACAATTCACCAGAGGCAACGTCAATGTCCTGTAGTCCAAGGTCACGTAGCACTGAACCACTAGGTTTAGGTGGAGTATAGTCAGAGTCAACAGTCAAGCTCTTTTCACTTCCAGTGTCGGTCTTGTTTACCGTCCTGGTCACATTGCATTTCACATCATCTGTTTTTTCATTTGCATACAAGTAGTCATTGTCAAAGTCTTCAAGCGCTGTGCAGGGGGACACGTCAGCGATCTTGCAGTTGCGTCTGAGAGTTATTGGCTTATTGGAAGGGTTAATGACTCTCACTGGAATCCATCCATCACCCTATAATGGAGTCACAATCCGTCCCACCATAACTGTCCTGGGCACTGTGCGGGACTCACTTGGCTCCACAATGACTGTGCTACAAGCTGACAGGCAATTATGACTTGGCAGACGACCCCAAACCAGATGTTCCTTCATGGGCTCTAAAGTCACAGCATGTTTCAGTTTCACAGTGCCTACCTTGTCTGGTATGTTACTGCCTCTCCACTTTTCCACAGAAGCCAACAGCTGCAGCAGGTTCTCATCGTCAACAGCTGACTTATCCGAAAGGGATACTTTATCCCAGAAATCTCCAGAAGTCTTCAGAACACGAATGAGATGTTTTATGACGTTGCTTCCAAGAATCAAGTCATCACTTTGACCATCCACAATCAGCGTGGGTACTGAGATGTTACAATCCAGCACTTTCATCTGAAGTTCACAGACGCCGACGGGGCTTGTTCTCAAACCTCCATATCCAATCAGAACAACTGAAGTGGGCGAGATAGAGTCCGAAGAAACAATATTAGACGTCTCAAGCAGAGGAAGCACACGCGAACTCAGAGAGCAGGCCATTGAGCCACTATCCAACATAGCACGCAGATTCACAGCATTTTGAATAGACACACTAGTGTAGAAAAGGTCATCTTTTGCAGACAGTCTGTGTGTTCTGAAATATCACTGTAGTATCACCTACTATTGAAGCACAGAACTGAGAGTAAACAGACTCAATATCAACATCATCATGTGGGGACATGTCAACCGGCCCTTCACTAGTCCCCCCCTCGTGTGGGCCATCTAGTTTCCCTGCTGTGTGGGAGCATCAGCTCGAGCTGCAGGTGCATCCGAAGCAGGTATGACAGTACAGGTTACTGCCTGATGTCCAGTAGCATGACAGCGGAAGCA